AGTAAGTTATAAGCCAAATGCCTAAAGTAATAATCCATAACCCATATGCCCCAATCCAATAACCTTAATCCACATGCCCTAACACATACATCCTAACTCCTAAGAGATAAGCCTTAAGCCTAATCTATATGACCCAAGCTACAAACCCCACCCTGGCCCCCACCCTATCCCTAACACTCACCCCCAACCATCCATACTTTTATGATTCTAAAGTTCTCCAAAATTAAGATTTACACCTATCCATATATATCCACCCCACTTTGACCACCCACATACTTTTAGCCCCACCTGCATACTACCATTAATTCTTATTTAGGTGTTATTGGGTCTGGGAGTACGAGTGGGGTGGATGAGTGTTGAGGCTTATATCCACCACCACACCCTTACTTATCTCATTCCCACACCTCACCACTACACACCCATTTACATCCCCATCAATACATACCTTAATCCATACGTCTATCTAAATAGCTAATCCAGGTGGCTAATACCGAATGGCCAAACATTGATGCCAATTCAAGAATTACACGTGGAAAACACATTCTATTAATTATCAATATACCCATGAAACTCCAAAAAAATCATATAATTTTGTCTATTTTGTATAATCAATTTCAATAAATATTTTTTTCTAATTAAAGTCCTTAATCTATTAAAAGCACAAAATTTCACAAAAAAATAAAACTCCCTCTCATATATATATATATATATATATATATATATATATATATATATATATATATATATATATTTATTTATTTATTTATTTATTTATTTATTTTTAATATCATTTCACTCTTCTTCTTTTCTGCAAAAACATGCCATAAATTGATTCTTATTTTGTTTTCTGTCTAATGTTTGACATCTACCTCACTTGAATCACATCACTTCGTTAGTAAGGGTGTGTTTGATTTGGATGTTGATTCGGTCCCCTCTGGAACATTCAAAGACCAGAACAAACTTCGACAAAAATTAAGTCTTCCTAATATGCCCTGATCGTTCCCTCCATTGAAAATCATAAATTAAGAAATCAAATTCCATATATCATGTTGTCTCTGACTAGACAACCTCCAACTCATGTGTGAATTGAAGTAATTTGCAATTTTTTAGATTCATAATTGGTTACAATCGAATCTAGTTTGGGTTTTGTTTTTGTTGTTGGCATTTAATCATTCTTAATATTTAGGTTTTTGTGATTCCGAAGCAATCATTAGGGTTTCATATTCCGATTATAGATGTAATTCATTTGTTTTGTACATGTTGATATCACTCCAACTGTTATATGACCACAATAGGTCCCAAAATTGAAATTGATATATGACCAAAACTCATTTGATGTATGCAATTCCAACACTCTTCAAATGAAAATCATGAATTTTTTTGGCAAAAAGTATACCAAAGTATAATAATAAGTTATGTACTTTGCATGGGACTTAATGGCTCTATATAAGTCAAATGGTTGACTAGTCTATAGAGAGTATTTTGGCGAAGAGTATTCTTAAAATTTAGAAATACACTAATGCAGAAAAAATTATCATTACATTATTATATTCACACATTCAATTACCATACTATAATTATATTGATCATGCATTATATTTCTTCTGTAACTATATTTATTTATAGATACACATAATAACTTTAACTATAACCAATTGTTATTTAAACTCACAATATTTATTTTGTTTTTCAAAGCTAATTCATCATATTTTGATAAACATAATAAAAGGCACATGAACATAAACCACTAAAAGTAACTTGTTGAATTAATTTTATCAATATATTATTATTATTAAGGATTTAGGTAACGAAGCACAAAATACATTAGTCACCAGTAAATACTTTATATTTGTTTGTATGAGGACTATTCTTAAAATTTAGACATACGTTAATGCAAAAAATGACCATTACATTATTATAGTCACACATTCAATGACCATACTATAATTATACTGTCAGACATTATATTTCTTCTATAACCAAATTTACTTATAGACACACATAATAATTATAGCCATAACCAAATGAAACTTACACTTACGCAATATTTGTTTTTCAAAGCCAATTCATCATATTTTGACACATATAATAAAATACACAGGACCATAAGCTACTGAAACTAACTTGGTTTGTTGCCTTTACTAAGTCACCGGTAAAAGCCACCCTATGGACACACAATATTCAATGTGGTTATATGTATCACCTGTTAGCAACATTGGATTTCATGTGTCTAAAAAGATACCATGATATAAAAACATATACAATCGTCTCATGTCACCATATATATATATATATATATATATATATATATATATATATATATATATTGTCTCATATAAAAAAAGTATCATATGTTTAATTTGTAATCATGACTGATGGTGACATATGACCACAATGTTCGAGTATGGCTAATAATTGTCACATTTGGTATAATTAAGTGTGGTTAAAGTTTTGATTATCTATAAAATAGTCACACAAACTAATTTAAATTTATCGAAAAACAGTCACTAAATTTTTTTAGTGGCATTTGGCAACACTTTTAATAAAAAATATGATAGACCATTTTTTGAAAAGTGTGACCGTAGGTAATTTTTGTACTAGTCTAATATCTTAATTAATACACCTATATATAGGCATCAAAGAATAACTAGAAAGGAATCCTAAGTCGACATTTTAGAACTGAAAACCCACAATTAAATATAATTCCGAAATGACAACAACCCAAATTGGAACATAAGAAAAGAAACTAAACATTCCAAACACAAACAATTAGACACAATATAATTCTGAACCTTAAAAACTATTTACTTCCAAAGTCTCATATATATATATATATATATATATATATATATATATATATATATATATATATATATATATATATATATATATATATATATATAATGATCAATAAATACACATATTGATTTCGTAATTGTGTTTAAGTTCTTAGTGCAATAAATGATAATGTACTTTTAATTTTTGTCCCTAGTTTAAAAATAGCAATATACTTTGGCATCAATAAATATATGTTGTTTTGATAATTATGTTTTTGTCCCAAGTTTTGGTAATCGTGTTTGTAATTGTGTTTTTGTCCCAAGTGCAAGAAATAACAATGTACTTTTGTCTTTCTTGCATTTAAGGTTATTTAGCAAAAAATAAGTAGTCTATTTAATTTCAAAGTCTCATATATCTAAATAATGATCAATACATGCATGTTGATTTTGTAATGGTGTATGTAATTTTGTTTCTATTTTAAGTGCAAGAAATAATAATGTATTTTGTTTTTTTGTCCCTACTTTAAAAATAATAATTTACTTTGGCATCAATAAATGCATGTCGATTTGGTAATTGTGTTTATGTCCCAAGTGCATGAAATAGCAATGTTTTTTAGGTATTTCTTATATTAAAGTGCAAGAAATAGTAATGTACTTTGGTAGTTTTTGTTTTGTTGCAAGAAATAGTAATATACTTTGGTAGTTTTTGTTTTTGTTTGATAGTTTAATATATAAGTTTATATATGTAGTTATTTATTACGTATTTGGAAAATCTTCGTTATTTATTACGTATTTGGAAAATCTTCGGGAAATGCTCAACAACTCGGAGTGTAGGGAAGAACTTTATGAATTTTTCAATCGGGTAAAGATCAAGGAGGAAACTAGGAGAACAGAGATGATGCTTCGTCGGATAATCAATTTGTGTTTTGTATGTTAGATTTGTTGCGACACCTTGGTACTGGTTGGAATTATAACAATCTTGTTGTATTTTGATATTTGTATAAATTTATAACACTATTTGGTACCTAATTAGATGTCGTTTTCGATAATTTTTTTCTGCATTTAATGACGTTACATATCAATTTTTATGCACCCGAAGGTATTGATTTTAATAAAAAAATAATATTATTGGCAACAAAGGGAATTAGCAGCGATAAGGTTATCGACGACCGAGAGAATTACTGGCGACGAAGCAGTACATGCGACTTTTTATTGGCGACATGTCGCCGCTATTGCCTTCACCGACGACAATTCTAACTTTTACTTGCAACTCTTGTCGCTTCTAATTCCAATTTTTCTTGTACTTGCGACTTAGAATCGGCAAGTTCATGTTCAAAATTCGACACGAAATTGACATGATTTAACAGTTATTTATCGTGTTTTTCATGTTTGTCGTGTTTGTCGTGTTATATTTGATAAATTATTCGTTAAATAAACTAGTTTTTAGTATATGCTATATTTTTCGTGTGGTGTTGTGTTTGTCGTTTTTTAATTCGTTAGTTTTCGTGTTAGTTAAAAAAACACGACATCGTATCGTGTCGTGTTCGTGTTATATAAAACATTGTTGTGTCGTGTCATGTTTGACAGAAACACGAAACGATAGCACAATTTGCCACCCCTAATTGACGGTAACGTGTTGAGCATTTGCACCGAGGCAACAACGTCGATAGGTTGCCTATAGTAACTTTAGTGACGACAAACCTACTCTTTAGCGTCGCCGCTAATGATCGCGTTTCTTGTAGTGGTTCCATTTGAAGTCACTTAGATTTACGAACTTGCCGATTCTAACAACCCTTTAAAATTCGTAGACATTGATGCTTATACAACCAATTACTGGTAATATGGCACACAATATAGACAACTTAAACAAAAGAAAATAAAAATAAATAAATAAATAAATCTTGGGGAGCAAAAAAAAGGTCGAGGACATCAAGCTTAGTAAAATACTGTGTTGGTGGTCTTCAAACGTTTGTAGCCATACATTTTCACAAATCCTTTTTATAAAAAACTGATTCAAGAGCACATAATCTTAATCTTGTAACTCGGACATTTCATAAAACTGTCCAAATAAATTCATCAAAGCTTTTTCATAGAATGCTTACACGTTCATCATCTCATGGCTGCAAGAAGTGCCAATTGGATCAGATTTGCATCTTATAACTACAGGTCAAAGATAATAGAACATTGTTGTTTAAACAACCAATCGTTGTATTAATTCAAGTATCAAACATAATTGGGGGTGGCGTTGGGTGGTGTTGGAGCCGATGCCACCTTCCCTCCACGCTCGGACCGACTGTTCTCGGCAAACTTAAGACTTGCTTGGTGCATCCCTTTCTGTTTCTCCTCCTCCGTCCATTCAGCAACATAATAATTCTCTTCACTACCTTTGACGATGTCTTGACTGGCCGGAAGAAACATACTTCCCCATTGTGGGAAGTGAACAAAACTTACAGGAAGTGTACAAAGTATGATCATGATACCCATATAAGACAACCCTTTGGCAGTCGAGAATGAGGCAGACGCAAAGAATATCAATTGGGTTAGTCCTGATCCAAAGTTCCCTCCGGCACCGGTCATACCAGAGATGATACCCATTGATCGCCGGGAAATGAAGGGAACGATGCCGAAGGTGGCTCCGCATGCTGCCTGTGCACCGATGGAGAAGAGCATCATAAAGGTGATGGCTAATGGTAGCGAGTTTACTAGGCCTAGGAAGACACAGCAAACGCCGCCAGCTGTTTGGAGTAGCCATAGGTTCCAGAGTCGACCTCTCATTCCCCATCGTTTGGCCATGTAATCCGATGTGAACCCACCAAAATGGACGAGCTAGGAGGTTTGCCATTCCGAAGCAGGCCGCAATGATTCCGGCAAGGTGAAGCTTTAGATCAAATCTGTAGATATTTCAATGGATTTATTTAATTGCACATGTATAATTAAACTTTTGTGCAGTGTAAAACAAATCCAAACCTGTCATAGAAGTATTCTGCGATCACATTGTCAATGGTCAACTCGACACCCATGGAATAACCGTAGAGAAGTACAAAGATCCATGTTCGATAGTTTGTCACAGCATACCACAATACCTACAAACGAGAAACAAATTAGAGACAAAGAACATACGTATACGATAAATGAATGGTTAATGATTAATGCTAATTAGATATGAAGGTTTACCTTGCCGAATTTATCTTTGGCAACATCACCCTTCTTCTGAAGAGCACCCAGATTACCATCAGGCAAATCTTGACCAAGAGTCAACACAAATATCCCCATGATTACGTTAAGCCACCCTGGTATGAAAAACGCAATCCTCCAAGCCGTGAACGGCGTTGCCCCGGCCTTCTTGATGATCTCAAACAACACCGGCATCAGGAGTTGCGTGGCTCCACCACCCATGTTCCCCCACCCAGCCGCCGTCCCGTTCACCAGCCCAATGATCTTGCTGTTAAACATGGTGCTCATCCAATATTGGCACGAAACGAACGTAGCTAAAGAAAATCCGATCATGAATCTCACGGCTATGTAGCCACTAGCGTCGCTGACAAAAGACATGCAGAAGACGGTAGGTGCTGACATCATGATCAGGAAAGCACAGCCGTAACGAGGCCCCAACAAGTCGCATACCGCACCCATAACCAGCCTCGAGAAGATACTACCGGAAACGGAGGCAACACCGGCGTTCCCGATGTCAGCTTTATTGAGATCCAGGTTGTCCCGGATGATGGGAACGAGTGGCGCCGCCGCAAAGGTGGAGACAAAAGTGGTGAAGAAAGAGATCCACGAGAGATGGAAGGTTCTCATGTGAGGGTTTGCAAATGAGAACAGCTTAAACACTTTTGCCTTATGTTCAGAGTCCACGGGGAGGTCGAATTTCGCCGTCGTATCAGTGGGCACCATCGGAGACGCAACAGAGAACGCCAGCACTGGTTCCCGGCCGGTGACTCCATGCATCGAGGTGCCCGGAGAACCTTCGATCTCAGGCATTGTATTCTTAGTTCTTTTACTTCTCTCGAATGTGATATACGATTTATATTTGTGTGTTGCTGATGTCTTTATGGAAGAGTGATGATCGTGGTAGACTTTATATAGGCCTCGGGAGAAAAAATAAACAAGAATGTCTGACTTTTTCAGAAGGGTTCATATTCCTAAATATGGTTAATTAAGGGGTTGACAAATGAGAAGGGTTAAGGTTGATAGCTAGTGGGGATTCCCAAAAGGTTGTGATCACTTCTGTATTCTAAACGAACCCCGTTCGCCGCATCCCATTCTCTACTGTTTAGGCTCACCAGATATCCCAAAAGATGCTTATTGCACCAGTTTATAAACATCAGTTGGAAATAGAAGAAAAATTACTAAAATCTATTTGATTCTTGTTTAAACGAATTTTGTTAGTAGATTTATAAGTGGCCTAGTTATGAAAAGTTTGTCAACTACATTAAAAGTAAAATAAGTTAATATGTTTGCGCCATGGAATAAATATTACGCATGCTTAAATAATCTATACGTATAACTAAATCAAAACAATACTTACTAGATAAATTAATATTACGCATGCTTAAATAATCTATACGTAATTTATGACATGGACACTACAAGAAATATACTCTTTAGCGGCGACACTATTACCGGCGACAAGGGGCTTTACCGGCGACTTTAGATAAAGTCGCCGGTAAAGCCCCTTGTCGCCGGTAATAGTGTCGCCGCTAAAGGGTTGTCACCCAAATTCGCACTTTCCCCCTCTATTGCATCTCAACCGTTCGATGAGATATCCAATCCAACGGGTGGGGTGCCTTATCCTGTCAAACCTAATACCGGCAACACAGATGTCGCCGCTAAAGGTTAAAAAAAGTCACCGCTAATAGTCCGCTAAAAATGACGCGGTACCCTTCCCTCCAGTTTGTCGCCGCTATTATTCATTGTCGCCGGTAAAGGCCATGTTGTCGCCGCTATTGTCTGTCGCAGATAAAAAAAAAACGCACGCAGATAACCTCCCTTCTTCATTTTCCTTTCTGTTTGCTTCCAATTTCCTTCACCATCTCGCCGATTTCCTCTTCAATCTGCTTCTTCCCTGCAAATTTCTCCCCACATTGTTCCAAGCAATGGTCTCTAGGTGTGGTTAAAGCTTTGGGATCAATTTCTACCTCCATTTCTTGAAGAAAGGTAAGTTTTTATGATGATTTCATTTTTATTTTGTATGAATTTCGATTTGTAGCTTTATGTAATGATTGAATGATAATAAATTGTTCATATTTTTGTTTTTGGTGGTATTGTTTTGGATTAGAAGCAAGTTATTCAATTTTTTGTATGTGGTTATTGAATTGCAATTAGTTGTATAGCTTCAAGTTGTATCTATATGTGAAATTATGTGAAAATTGTCATATGTGAAAATTAGATTGTATATTCCGTATTTGTTTGAATATATGTGAATTTGGTATATATATATATATATATATATATATATATTATATATATATATATATATATATATATATATATTCCAATGTATGTGTGCTTGATGTATATGTGGTATATTAGTATTTGGTAGAAATTATATGTATTTGTTATAAGTAGAATGTTATTTTGTGTATGTGAATGTATGTATGTTTGTTGTAAATGTGATATATGATTGTGAAACTTTTGTATTTGGTATAAATAGGATGTTATTATGTATATATGTGAAATTATGTGTATTTGGTCTAAGTAGGATATTATTTTGAGTGTATTTGTATTTGGTGTATATGTGGTATATGTATGTAAAAGTATGTGACTTTCACCTTCTTTTGTATTATGTAAAACTATGTGGTTCTGGTATAAGTAGGATGCTATAATTGAAAAAAAATACATTATTTTTATAATTTGAAAAAAAAACACAAAAAAAAACTATAAATTTGTTTAAAAACTTATATACAAAAACTAGAAAGCTTCTAGTTTTTACCCAATCTAACTCCAAATTAATTAACCAATAAGTTATATAGTTAACTTATAATTGGAAAAAAAAACACAAAAAAAATTATAAATTTTTTTAAAAACTTATATATATATTAATCTCGACGGTAAAAAAAACAACACAACAACATAATATATATGTAAAACTATGTGAATTTCACCTTCTTATGTATTATGTAAAATTATGTGGTTTTCTTATAAGTAGGATGCTATAATTGAAAAAAAAAATACATTATTTTTATAATTTGAAAAAAAAACTATAAAATTGTTTAAAAACTTATATACAAAAACTAGAAAGCTTCTAGTTTTTACCCAAACTAACTCCAAATTAATTAACCAATAAGTTATATAGTTAACTTATAATTGGAAAAAAACACAAAAAAAATTATAAAATTGTTTAAAAACTTATATATATTTTAATCTCGATAGTAAAAAAAAAATTGTTGGTAGATTGTAACAATTTTGTTGTTTTGCGTATGTTGTCTCGTTTTGCTACTTGGTAGATTGTAAAAATTTTGTTGCTTTGCTAGTCGGATATTATGACTTTTGATATTTAATTGTATTTTGGATGTTTGTTTGTAATTTGTGTTGACACTATTATGTTTGATATTTAATAGGATGTTTGTTTTGTAATTAACGTCGACACTATTGGTTTTGAAATTTAATCGAATATTGTTATTACCGGCGACACTTTTACCTGCGATATTATCACCGGCAATGAAAATCATTATTTAAAAAAAATTGAAAAAAAATTACCCGCGACGCTTTCACCGGCGACCCTTTTACCGACGACATCTGTCATTACCAGCGACAAAATTATTAGCGGCGACAATAGTCATTAGCGGCGACATACTAATAGCGGTGACTATTATCATTAGCGGCGACAAACTGATAAATAGTGACGAGGCAGTAGCGGCGATTCAGTACCGGCGACGCGTCACCGCTATTAGTATTACCGGCGACTTTTGGGACTTTTACCGGCGATTTTTGTCGCCGGTAATGACCTTTTTCCTTGTAGTGGGATATAGATTTTCTATAAAAATTTCTCCACAATTCCTTAACATAAACTTCTTCTACAGACTACAATAATTCATAACCTAGATAATTTTCTACACAATTTCAATAACAAAAATCTTTTATATAAAATTTCAGTACACAAATTATTTTAAGATACACAATTTCAATAAGCAAAAATTATTTTAAGATAAAAATGCAGTTCATAAAAAAATCTTTGACCTAACGATAGTTGGAGTTAATGGATGTGTCCCTTAACCAAAGGTTGATAGTGTGTACGTATGTAAGTTGTTAAAAAAATTGTTTACTCAAAATTTTGACAACCTTAACAACTAATAAGTTAATAAATCATCGACAAACAACCTAAACTAATGTTTCATCTAAACAACCTAAACAATAATATGTCATCAAAAAAATCTTACAAAATGAACATAGAGGACTAATATATTGTAAAAAAATTTAAAACATGTAATATTATATAAAAATTTCATCTTAACATCAAATATTTCTCCAATAATTTATATGAAATTACATCCACAATCAATCTGAACCATATTATCTATATATCTATCTATATCATACATACTTATAAAGCTAGCATTTGTTTTTTTTTTGAATCTCATGCATTTGAAACCTTTTTTTTTTTTAATTTTCGCAAACCACATTCATTTGAACCTCTTTTTTTAACTAATGCAACTCAAAAGTTTTCTTAATTATAATTTAACACACAAAAGTTTTATAACTTATATTATGTTTAATTAGCATTTATTGAAAAGTTTACTATAAAAAGGTTAATCTTTTGTATTATATAAAATTTTTCATGTAAGAAGGATTTGAAGATATTGTGATTCAAAAGTTTTTTTTATATAGTTAAATCATTAACAATCCAAATATGATGATTTGAAGAATGAGTTATGTAGCATCGATGCTAAATTCTAATTTTTAATGATTAGGAGCGCCAAAGCTAATCTAGTGCTATAAGTTTATAATTTTTTTTATCAAAAACTCTTATTGAAGTTATATTATTTTAAATATTTTTATTATTTATATATATAACTGATGTTGTGATTGAATAATTAATTATCTAAACATAATTTAAAATATCATTAAAGTAAATAACTATTATAAAACTAAATTATTGAATTTGTTTTACAAATACAATTGCAACCATGTATATATTGTTTTTCTAATTTCCCATCTATGTAACCGTAGTCCATAAACCTATGACCTAACCCTTAAGCTATATACAATGAGTTATAATAAAGTCCAAATCCTAAGCCATTAGCCTTAAGACCTAAGATCTATGTTTTAAGCCTCAAGTCCAAAGCCATATAATCTTAGGCACCACACCTTAACCATTAATACATAAGCATTAGGCCATGAGTCATAAGCCCCAAGCCACAATTTACAAGCCTTATGCCTAATTCCATAAGTGTTAAGGTTTTTGGCTCATGACTTATAGCTTAGGGCGTAAAACATAGGGAAATGGTTTATGATTTTTGGCTTAAGGTCAAGGGATTAAGGCATACGACTTACAACATAAGCCATTAGGCACAAACCATATTCCCTAATCCTTAAACTATAAGCCTTAAGTCCTAATTCCTAATCCATAAGCCATAAGACATTAACCATAATCCATAAGCAATAAGCAAGATGACCTAAGCCATAAGACCTATGGCGCAATAAATAAGCAAAAAACCATAACACCTAAGTTGTAGGCCCTAAGCCTTAAGTCACAAACCATCATCCCTAAGCCCTAAACCATAACTCCTAAGCCCTTAGCCCTAACAATAAACTATAAGCCTTACACCCTAAGTCATACCACCTTTAACCATAAGCTATAAATCATGAGTCATAATATATAAATAATCGCCAAGCCATAAGCACTAATCCATACATCATAAGATTTAATTTGTAAGCCCTAATCCTTTAATAATAAGCAATAAGCTATAAGGCATAAACCCTAAAACCTAAGCCATAAGCATAAGCCTTACACCTTATGCCTTAAGAAATAAGTAGGAATCGTTAAACCATAAACCATAAGCCAAAAACCCTAAGTCCCTAATTCTACACCCTAATCCCTCAATCATACACCCTAAGCTCTAAACCACAAGTATTCATTTGTCAGCAATACGCCATAAGCATACTACCATAAACAGTAAGTTATAAGCCCCAATGCCAAAAGTAATCATGCCTAAGACATATGCCCCAATCCATCAACCTTAATCCACATGCTATAACACATACACCCTAACCCCTAGATACAAGCCTCAAGCCTAATTTATATGACCTTAGCCACAAACCCACCCCGGCCCCCACCCTATCCCCAACACTCACCCACAACCATCCATGCTTTATGATTCTAAAGTTCTCCAAAATTAAGAATTACACCTATCCATACATCTCCACCCCACTCCGACCACCCACATACTTTTAGCCCCACCTACATCCTACCATTAATTCTTAGTTAGGTGTTATTGGGTGTAGGAGTAGGAGTGGGGTGGATAAGTGTTGAGGCTTATATCCACCATCACACCCTTACTCATCTCATGCCCACACCTCACAACTACACACCCATTTACATCCCCACCAATACATACCTTAACCCATACCACTATATAAATAGCTAAGTTGGATGGTTAATACAAAATAGCGAAACATTGGTGCCAATTCAAGAATTACACATGTAATCCCTTAAAATCAGGAACATGGAAAACACATTCTATTAATTATCAATATACCCATGAAAACCCCTAAAAAATCATATAATTTTGTCTATTTTGTATAATCAATTTCAATGGATATTTTTTTCTCATTAACTTCCTTAATCAATTGAAAATACAAAATTTCACAAAAAATTAAAACTCCCTCTCATATGTTTGTTTTTATCATTTCACTCTTCTTCTTCTTTTCCGCCAAAACATGCTATAAATTGATTCTTATTTTGTTTTCTGTCTAACATTTGACATCTACCTCACCTGAACCACATCACTTCATTAGTAAGGGTGTGTTTGATTTGGATGTTGATTCGGTCCCCTGAGACATTCAAGGACCAGAACAAACTTGGACAAAAATTAAGTCTTCTTAATATGCCCTGATCTTTTCCTTCACTGAAAAACATAAACTATGAAATCAAACTCCATAGATCATGTCGTCTCTGACTAGACAACCTCCAACTCAGGTGTGAATTCAAGTAATTTGCACCTTTTTAGATTCAAAGTTGGTTACAATTGAATCTAGTTTGCGTTGTTGGCATTTAATCATTGTTAATATTTACGTTTTTGTGACTCCGAAGCAATCATCGGGGTTTCATATTCCGATTAAAGATGTAATTCATTTGTTTTGTACATGTTGACATCACTCCAACTGTTATATGACCAAAATAGGTCCCAAAAGTCAAATTGACATATGACCAAAACTCATTTGATGTATGCAATTCCAACACCTTCAAACGAAAATCAAGATTTTTTTTTTTGGCAAAAAGTATTCCAAAGTCTAATAATAAGTTATGTAGTTTGCATGAGACTTAATGGCTCTATATAAGCCAAATGGTTGACTAGTCAATAAAGAGTATTTTGGTGAAGACTATTCTTTAAATTTAGACATACACTAGTACAGAAAAATAATCATTACATTATTATATTAACACATTCAATTACCATACTATAATTATATTGATCATGCATTATATTTCTTCACCAGACCTTCGATGAAGGTGTTTGACGGTGATCCCAATGCTTTCAAACGATGAAGGACGATGTTTTTGCGTATTCCGTTGAATTTGTGGTTAGATTTATAAATTAAAAAGAATTAATATTATACATTATAAATAAATTAATAATCGAATAGAATATTATTTATTAAATAACAGATAAATTAAAAGTGATAATCCAATAAAAAAGAATTAATCAAAAACAAAAAAAATTAACTAAAAGAAATTAATTATTCAATAATAAAATATTTATTAGGATATAATTATTACATATTAAAAATAATATTTATTAATATATAATGATCCAGTAATAAAGAATCACTCCAATTAAAAAATTAATTACAAGAAATTATTAATCAAATAAAACAATATTTATTAGTATATAAGTATTAAAAAATAATATTCTTAATATATAATAATCCAATAAAAAATCAAATAAAAGAGGAAGTAAAAAAATTAATAAAAGAAATTAATAATTCAAAAAAAATATTTATTATTAAGTGAATATTGTTTATGAAAAATAATATTTTTAATATATATTAATTCAATAAAATTAAAAAAAAAAATGATATAGAAATGATCCATAGAATTTAGTTAAAAGACAAAATTATTGAAATAATCTCTTTGAAATGACAAAATCTATAATTCTTCAAAAGTTTAAACCTTAGCGATATATAATTAAAACTATAGGAACAATTTTTGCAACATTATAAATATAATTATCAAAGTTACTATATATTGACTTCTGTTATTAACATAAATTTTTTGAACGTGTCATTAATTATTAGTGACAAAAACAAACCGTTAACAATATTATTATATTTAATTGATAAATTTTTTGAAAAATTATTACTATTAATGCTAAAAATAAATCATTATGTATACGTAAGAATAAGTCAATGATATTAGAATGTCCTATTTAGTTAATTAACATTTATAAAAGAGAATCGACAAACACTATCAAAAATAGATTGTATAGGTTTTTTTAATTAGTTGCATACAAACTAATCTATATTTGTTTTTAGTTACGTTTTGTTTAGTTACATGGAAGCTAACAATATGTATAGGTTTTGTTTAGTTACATGTAAGCTAACAATATATATAGTTAATAACGAATCTCAAACTCTAGTTAACTTTAAATAGAAGTTGAAACTTAACTTTCACAGAATATATATATATATATATATATATATAATATATATTAATATATATATATATAATATATATATATATATATATATATATTATATATATATATATATACTAGCCGTTACCCGCGCACAGCAGCGGGGACAAATAGCTTCTTTCAACGATATTTTTTTAAAGAAAAATGTTATGTTCCAAAAGAAAGTTCATGCCGTGGGTGAGAGGAATGGCGGTAGTCGTGATAGTGGTTGGTTGAAGGCGGAAGGAGGCAGAGCGGCTGTGGTGGTGGTGGTTATACTGTCTTGGTTACTGGTTAGGGTTCTTCGAGAGAGTGTGCGTATATTTCTTACTTTGAAGGGATTACGAAGATAAATATTATGAGATGGCTTGTTACCAATGTGAGAAAAAAGATCCTCTATAAATTGTTGACATTGACCGCTTCAAATGGCTGAAGTGTTGAGATTGACGGGTTCAATTGCAAATTAATTTTTCTATTAATTTGATATGAGATTTTTAGGGGATAAACGATAAGGTTAAAGTTTTAATATTATTATATTATAAATGGGTTGTACTTCAAGCTTAATAGTTTGGACGTCTTAAAAAATAATATTATTATATTCAATCTATTTATAGAAATAGTTAGATTTCTTTATAAGTAGTAAAGATATATATATATATATATATATATATATATATATATATATATATATATATATATATATATATATATATATATATATATATATAGGGGAAGGCTCATGCAATAATGCAAACTATATGTGAAAATGAAAGAACCAATCGTATATTGCCACATCATTATTCATGTTTTCTTCAATTTATTACTTAAATTTAATAATAAAGGGTAAGATAGTAATTAACATAAAATAGTGATTGAAATCGTTCTTCATATAAATAAACGCCACCAAAAACTGACATATTAATATGAAAATAACTTCTTCCGTATGTTTCTGATCGACAAAAACATCTCCATTAAAATCTTTGATTGATTTATAAGTTACAATATCAAACTGAAGAGATGTCTAGTAAAGAATATGAAGATATTTGTTCTACTTACTTAATTGATAAAGCAAAGGAATCTTCCCAAAATTTAACTATCGGAAATTCAATATTAACGTTAGATGATGTTGATAAAGACAAGTTTTCATTCTGTATAATTACTATATTTTTGATTCTAATATTAAAAAATTATAAATACCTAACATTACAATACTATGATACACACTCATTACATATATTTTTACGATTATACTGAAAGTTAATTTCAACCTTCAAACTGATGTTCAGGATCCGAAGAAAAAAAAAAGTTAATCGTATGATTAATTAGATTTCATGTACTAAATATTTACATATAAATACTAATTTCAATAATCTTTCTGGATATTGGACAGGAAGTAATGAATCGGAAGACTCATTCAATGTTTTAACTATTGAACCTTCAGAATCAACAATCAACAATGGTGATAAAGGCAAGTTTAATAAATATTAACATGAATATTTCTGATGTTATTCAATAATTAAATTTAAGATAGATTATTAAATTCTATAGAACAATTACTAATAATTTTAAAATAAACAAACTGACTCTGAAGTTCAACTTTCAAAAGGAACTACAAGTGCAGCAGCAAAAGAAAAGGATAAAGGCATGTTTACCTAATTTATATTAAATACATAATTATGAACATATTTAATATATTTAAATATTGAGCTTTTTGAATATTTGACAGGAACATCTTACATAACTCAAGATGATGTGTACATTCCACATGTTGCTGAAAATCTCATTCCTAAAAAAGGACAAATTGTGTCAAGTTTAAATGAAGGAATTGAAATGTATAGGAATTATGCAAAAACTGCTGGTTTTGGAATTAGATTAGGAACAACAACCAAATACGGGGATCTAAGTCTAAGGAAAAAACAAGTAAGATGCAACAGATATGGAAATCCAAAAAAAAAAACCATTGATACTCTTACATCCAAACGACTGAAAAAACAGGAAAGAAAATCATATTCTAAGGTCACAGGATGTATGGCAATGATTGGTTTTGACAGAAATGCTGCAACAAATATAATCACTGTATATGCTTTTGAAGACACTCATAACCATCCACTTACTGAATTTAATGAAGAAAACATTTGCTCTCCAAATCATCGTCTTAGTATTTTTGATCAAGAACTAATTGTTAAAGCTTCAACTATCAACATTGGTGCCACAAAAGCACACAAATTAAGAGCATCATTAAAGGGAGGATATGATAATTTGCCAGCCACAAAGAATGATTTCAAAAACTTTTGGAGAGATTATACAAATATTGTTGGACCAAATGATGCTCAATGTGTTGTAGACCAGTTGATAATTCGTAGAGATAATTATCAAAATTTCAATTTTCAATATAAGTTGGATGATGATGTGCTAAATGCTATGTTTTGGGTTGATGAAACAGGAAGAGAAAACTACAATAAGTTTTCTGATGTTATATCAATGGATGCTACTTATAGAACAAACAGGTAAAATTTATATTTATTACATAATATTACATAATAAGGGATAAATTTTACAAATACTTTCAGGTACAATATGATATTTGTTCCTTTCACTGCAATAAACAATCATGACAAGACAATCAACATTGGAGCAGGACTAATATCAGATGAAACAATTGAATCATACTCTTGGTTGTTAGAAGCTTTTTTGTCATCACATAAGAAGAAACCAACAATGATTCTATCAGACATGGATGCAGCATTATCTTGTTCAATAGCAAAGGTGTTTGAAGGATGTACTCACAGATTATGTATGTGGCACATAATGTCAAAAATGCCATCAAAGGTAACAAAAAATTTAATTTAAACAATTACATATAGCTTATGAAAATATACTAATAAAACCAAATTTAACATGACAGATTGAAGCTGACTTAGTTTCAAATACAGATTTCAAGAAACGAATAAATCAACTAGTTTGGAATATGAATATTAAACCAACAGAATTTGAGAACAAATGGGATTTGATGTTGAATGAATTTCAATTTGAAGGAAAATAAATGGTTGGCTGATATGTTCAACAAGAGAGATAAATGGATTCCATCCTATTTCAGAGATATACCAATGTGTGGACTTATGAAGACTACATCTCGATCTGAAAGTTCTAATTCCTTTTTCAATGTTTTCTCAAGTCCAACAAACTTACTTGTTAATTTTATGTTCAACTTTGACACTGCACTTTCAAAGCAGCGTCATGAACAAAAAAGATTAGACATTGCATCAAGAGATACTTTGCCACAACTACTATTTCCAAATGAAAATTTGAAAATAGAAAAGCATGCATCATTGGTATACACTCGAGAAGCATTCATAAAAGTGCAAAAACAAATAAAAAAGTCATTCTATCAGTGTTTTCAAAAAAATTCGGTTTTGATTGATGGTCTTCAACAATGCACATTGTCTACAAAGAACTAAAATCAGGCAAGCGGCCAGAATTTAAGGTATTCATTTATGCTACTTCATTATTATTTTAATTTAACATTATTTATAATTTATAAATATATTTTTAAAATAAAATTTTATTATTACTTCTCAGGTTTCTTTTGATGCAAAAGATGAAACAATTGAATGTGAATGTTTGCATTTCAAATTTTTTGGAATCCTTTGCAGTCATGCTTTCAGAATTCTTATAGATTATGACATTGCCATGATACCTGAAAAATACATTCTGGATAGATGGAGAAAGAACATAGTGGATATTGGTTTTCAAAAGATAAACAAAAAATGGAGAGTGTGCAGTACAGAAATTTCAAATCTCTTGCAGGATGCAACTTCTTTTTTTGAAAAATGCGTTGAATCGGTTATTCATGATAAAGAAAAACTACAAGGATTGGTGAACTCTCTTCAACAATTAAGTGAAACTTGTGGAAAAGATGTTTCTACAAGATCAAGTTCAATTCCCATAAAAGATGTGATTGAAAATATCATTGGAGTTCCAATTTCAAGTGATGTGAAAATCAAAGTACCAAGTGAGATAAAAACAAAAGAAAGTGGAAAGAGGAGTCGAATCAAAAGTGCTGCAGAAAAAGCAATAGCAAAAGCACTTAAACCAAAACGCAAATGCAAAGGATGCAACCAATTCGTCAACCATGATATAAGAAATTGCCCAATAAATCCTTCAAATGTGCTTAGGCCTTTCAAAAAAAC